TGCTAACTGGTTAGCAAGATGCTTCTGAGACACCGGCCACAACCAACCCCTCCCCCTTGATAATCGACCAATCACATTCTCTTTATTCACCCGTGTAAAGTCGTGCACCACTATGGAGAATTCGGAAATGCAACGGTTGGAACAGCCGCTTCCCTACGACTTTAAACAATTAAAAAATGTTGGGTTAAAAAGAATTCCATTTACCATATTTTCTGGTTTTGGTAGAAAGTCTGAATTGGTACACTAAGAAAATATTACACCTGTCTTTTAATAATAAAAAGGCAGCCTTTTCTTTTTCTTTTTTTTCTCTAAAGTTTCTTATTTCCATTTGGATTTTTAAAATGAAACGTTGATTAATCGGAAAAAGCAAGGAAGGAACAATGAAAGAATTCCCCATCCAGCCTCTCAGTGAAGGACTCTTATTATTATCATCTCTCCTCTCCTCAGTGCGTGCTGCGTAAGGATTTCCCTCCTGGACTCGGCGGCAGCGACATCTGCCACTTTTGCTCCAAGCGGGTGTATGTGATGGAGAGACTGAGCGCTGACGGCTACTTCTTCCATCGAGAGTGCTTCCGCTGTGACGTCTGTAACTGCACCCTCCGTCTGGGTGGACACGCCTTTGACTCGCAGGAAGGTACGTCGGTCTGACTCACTCTAAAAAATCTTTACGTCGAATTTAGGAGAATAATCCCTGCAGACTTTTCTAATAAAGACTATTTTAGTCTGTTATTTTGTACAACAGAAGTATTCTTTTAAAATAAAAGAAAGTACTCTGTATATTTTCTTAACTTTGTCACTCATTCTGTTATTTCTACACTTTATTTTTAAGGTCCATATTTGTGTCACTACTTTTGCTTTAATCTTATCAATCAATAAAGGGATTTTCTATTCTATTCTATTTATCAGTTTGGTTTGTATTAGAACTGATTCTTTTTTTTTTTTTGTTAAATGTAGGAAAGTTTTACTGCAAAATTCATTACATCCAGCATCAATACAGCTCTAACTGGGGCAGGAACAGAAGAACGACGGTAAGAAGCAGTTTAAAAATATATACTTCAGTTTTTTTTTTTTTGATAGGGTGTCAATAAAGAGCAAAAAATAAATAAACATTAATAAACACTCAACACACTGAAAGTAATTTAATTCTTAGCAAGATTAAATAAAACAACTTGAACTTTCATTTATTCAAACAGATTTACAAAGTTGCTAAATATAAGTTTTGTTTTTAGTAAAAGTGGCTTTTTTAGATTTTAAATTTTCAACAAACAGTGTTTATCATATTAGACACAGAAAAGAACAAACATAAAACCTACATTAAAGGCCTTTCATGGCAGATGAACATATAAATTGGTGCAAACAGTGGTGAGTCTCATAATGCACATATACTGTTCAGGCCCACAGCAAGCCTCTTAATAGTGTGGAGGAGAGGTCTGGTACAATATAGTCCAAAAATGGCCGCCATACTCTGTAAAACTGTTCTTCACTGTGATGCATGTGAGGAATTAGTTAAAAATAATTTTACGCTAACGACAGACAGAAGGAATTGGCATTTATTGCTGATTTAATCCTCAAAATATGCATGTTTTTCATCAGCATGTATTTATTTCCTTTCATGTTTTTCCTGGTTTTTACAGGAAGTCCTAAATCCCCTGAACCCCTCAGCTATGGACAGCGGGATCTGTTCAGCCACGGGCGGCGTCCAACCCGCAGGTACCCTGGTTTCCTTGCTTAAACACGGTCTGAGCTGGCCGAGGCGTGCTAGTCGGGCTGTGTGTGTGTTGCCTCGGCAGCTGTTGGGAAGTGTGTGCCACTCTATTACAGCCGTGGGATCCCACGTTCGGAGCTACTCACAGGACTATATATTCCTGTTTGAGCTGCTGAGCCTTGGTTGTCCTCTGCTCTGCATGATGCATGAGATGTTGGGGCAGATCTACCAGGAGCCCCAACTGGCTCAGCAGCAACTCTTCAATCAACGACTGGCGTAGGAGAAGGACTAACTATCTGCTTTAACACGGCAGACTGCCTGATAGCTGGATATGTACCACTTTATAGCCTAGAACTGATCCATTCAGGTTCAATTAAGTTCAAACTCCATTATTACCTTCACTTGCCTAAGTTTCAAATCCACGCAGTGATTTTGAACATTTTTTATTTGATAAAAGGTTATTATTTAAAATATGATGTTTTCGTTTAGCAATAAAGGCCTAACGTGTCTATTGGGGGTAATGTTGAGCAGTCAGTATCTTCCCTGCAGTTTGGATAATCAGGAAATTCTGAATTTTGGCCAATGGCTACAGGGAATAAACAGGAGATAATAAACCAACTACCCGGTGCCTCAAACCGTCTGCTGACGCTTCTGTGGATCAGCCTTACTTTCAGTTCCACCTTTTAAAACAACACCCTATGTTACTACATTGATTAGCCCTCAAATTTCCATTGAGGTTAGCTTAGCAACTTGTTTAGCATGGATTATAAGATATAAAATCAAAATTAAACAGTAAATAGGTGCAAATATATTAAAGTTGCAGCTGAAGTTAGAGTTTTATGCGTTTTCAATGGCAAATATTTGCTCTCTCTTGATAGCAGCTTGTTACTCCGCTAAGGATAGCTTATTAGCAATTTTGTTTTCCATAAACTAAAACTTGAGCCATAATTGGTCCTTAAATTTTTTTTTTGTTTGTTTGTTTTTTTTGTTTTTTAGTTAGGTTAGCTTCTTTTGAACAGGTTAGGTTCATGTTTTCGCCTGCGTTTCCCCTCCCTAATCAATCTCTGACATGTGGGCTTTTTCCAGGAAGATTTGCAGAAACATTCAGCCATTTACGGTTGAAATCTTGGTCATAAATTCTTGAGGTTCACGCCTCATTTTGTCGCCTAGACAGAATTAATTGGTGTCTGAACTATTAGCTTTGCTCTGACCCTGGAAGATGCCCTTGATTCTAACAGAGTAAACTGTCCAAATGATGCGGCTTTTTTTTTTTAAACTTCTGGCAGGGAAGGAGTTATTATAGTCTGCCTTTAACTCTGCCCAACAGAAATGTGCAATGGAAATGCCAAAGCAGTGTATAATTTTTTATTTTTTATGAATTATTTTTAGGTCATTTAAGGATCCAGATTTTTTGAATGTGTTTTGGTGCATTTTTTTTTTTTACCCTTTGAAGATTAAGGCTCATTATTTATGTTATTTGTTTGAAATTATGGATTTATAGCATAAGAAAGAACTAGTGACAAGTTTTTTTTTAACGTTAATGGTAAAAATTTATTTTGAAATATATATTTGAAGGTACTTATTTTATTTTATTTTTTTATTGTTTTTGAAACGGTGAATAAATATGATTTCAGTTACATTTCAGACCCTATTTAATAGATTAAAACCAAAACAATGAGCCTTATCTGCAGCAAAGATGATTTGAAAGTCAGTTTAAAACTTTTATTTTCTAGTTTGGATCCAGAGTGAAAGGTTTAGAAACTAATTGTGAAGTAAGACCTTTTGTTTAAGTGTTATACTGTAATTGATGGTTATATTTTTGTTTGTCTTATTGTTGTAGTTCTGTTTTATTGTACTTAAATTGAAAGTATTATTGTTTCAATGCAAAATCTTTGCACATCTTCTTTCCAGCTCCTTTTTTTTACATCTCATCTTTTTTCCTATCTAAAATTTATTTACAGTTTCTGTTTCACTTCATTTTGTTCAGTCTGTTTCAACTTTGCAATGCTGCACATTCTGATTGGCCATTCCTGCCAGCAGTGAAGGTGACGATTGTCCACATTTGGTCATAAGATCTGGTTTTACTGCTTTTGCACTGGCTGCCTTTTGTAGCTCCTTCTGCTTTTTTCCCCCGACTAACTAAAACTAATGACAAACCAGCATGAGCCTCATGCCGGCGCACTAAAGACCTAAATAGTATTAGTTGCATTGTGAAGCGTTGCGTTAAACACCAAATCGAATTGGTGCCTGTGTTGAATTGCAATAATTAAATGGCTGCTAAGGTAATTGGATTACATGTCCACCATTCCTTCATTCTGTGTTAAATCAGTTAAATTGCATTAATGGACCAAAACTAGATGAAAATACTTATTTTCTGGTCGTGGAAGCGAAGTGATACTTTTGCTGCTCCACTACAAGTTTCTACATTTTCCTTCTGAACTTGAAGTATTTTTGCAACAGTTTAAAAGACTAAGTGTTAAATTTGTTCAAAATAAAATTCTGTTGGAGATGATTTAATTATCAAATTTTGTAAAACAGTTTATTTCATAATTTCTTTTTCTCGTTAATTGAACATTTAGTCCTGTTCCTGCAGGATCTCTTGGAGTTAGTGCTGGTAAATAAAACAAAGAGTCTTTAAAGACACTAATCCTGCCTTCATGTCAATGCATAATTGAATTTTTTATCTCCAAAATTTTCCATTTCAGAATTCTAGACTTTTTTTAACTCAGTTTTTCTGTTATATCAAATACAATGAGGACATTTGAGAACAAAAAAAATATCTGTTTTGGTTGTCTATTAATAACTCAGCGCCAAAGTAACAAACTGAACAAAATCTCAAGTTGCAATATGATCAGTCAGAGATCAGCCATACTCTAAATAGAAATTTTCTGGACATTTTTCTGGAAAATCAAGATTTTTTTAACATTTATTTATTGTTAATTATTCATACTTATCCAGACCTGACAAATGACCAAATCAAATTTCATACTTTTCTGTAAGATGGCGTAGCTTTGTGGTCAGACACTAAACAGTAATGAGTTTTTTAAATAGTTTTTCCAGTAACTCCTTTGAGAAAAACAATTTCGTTCACTTTATGCATTAAAACATAATAGTAATATGCTCATAAATTGATATTTTACAGCATTTTTAATGCGATTGAAGCAGTAGTGTTAAAATGCTTTGTCCTGGCTGCTGAACGGCATTATGAATCCTAAACTTAGGTTTGATCAGCGGTCATTCTGCAGAATTTATCCTTTTAGTTGTGTTTCCGAGTTCAGAGCATAATGAGAATGGGCCGTTGTGTCTTACATTAAGTACTCATCTTGCCTGGCAAGGTTTTTGTTTAAAAATCAACAGAAAATAAAATGGCTATAAATGTAATAACTTTGAAAAAACAGCTAGATTGAGTTCTGATTATCAGATCTTTCACGGTTTTGGTCCTTTAATGGGATTTAATCCATACGATTTAACAATTTATGACATAAATCAGATTATTTTCCAAAGGTTGTTGTTGAAAATGCAGCCGGCACCTTTTAGTCCATTCGTTTGGTGTTGTATCCCGGTAAACCTCTCTCACACGCTTGTCCATGTCCTCTTTAACATCGACCATCCATCCAAACAGCAGATTTATCTCCTGCCACTGATAAATCAGCAGCGGCGGCATCTTTGGCCCATTTGACAGTAACCTGTCTCTACATGTCTTTGGTCTGTCTGTGGTTCCCTCTGTTTCAGAAGGAGACCCCCCCACTCCTGCTCCCCTCTCCAGATCCATCTCCTGTACCTCCTAGTCTTTCCTCAGGAGATTAGTAGCCAGACAGCTGCCAGAAAGCTCATGTTGGCAGCATGGTTTCTGTTTCACAGTTGTATCTCTGCAGCCTGTCAAGCAATTATTGTTTTGCTTATCATATATACATCCTGTAAAAATGCTTAATTTATGATATTTAGCAGCTGTTTAAATAAATATGTTTGATTACAGTATCTATTCGCTGTGTCATTTGTTGCCAAACAGTTAAATAGCATCATTTCCGAGAGGCATAAAATGACCCGACACATGGCATGCTATTTATTCCCAAAATTTTTCCCCTTATGAAAGCCAAATTAACTGTTTTTTTTTTGTTAGCTGTTTAATTTAAATCATTTTCCAGCTCTTTTAAGTTGACCTAACATCACCCACACAAGTCATGCACTTGATCACAGCCTTTAATGATTAACCAATGCTAATTTTCTACTATATATATATATATATAAAAAAGAAAGACTTTTGAGCTTTGTAGTATTATCTAAATGGATTTAAACTTTCCTTTTTAATCACAACATCTTCCACTTTTTTATTACCTTAAAAAAAAGGATGATTGTCAGGCAAAAGCTTAACTGATCTAAAAGTGCTCAGAGTTCAAGACTCCAGCCAAACTGAACTGGATTGAAGTGAATCTAATCAGTTTATTTCTATCAAATTCTTTGTGGTCTTTGCTAATGGGTCTTTCTGTCCTTTGCTCTACCTTTCCCTTATAAAATGTGTTTGAATAAAACAGATAAAAAAAAAAAGATTTAAACCAGGTTGAGAACATGAGGTAAACACCTCATCATTACCAAGGCAGGGTTGTCCAGTGACCCCTCCTGTTCGATGTTTGCACCAACATGTTTTCCTTTCTTTGCTGTGACCAAGCGGAATCACCTCTGGAATGATTCTTTACATTGACTTCATTACTCTGTGAGTACGCATGATGTTTATGTGACTTTAGGATGCTTGTACCAATGAACTAGATCAGGGGATCCCAAAGCGGGGGATGCAAACCAACCGTCATAATCATCATGATGGACCCCTGAGATGAACTCGGGGCCCAAACAATTTAGATATAAAGAGATAGATAGATGGAGGCAGTGGAGTCAAAAGTATTAATGTTTATTACTACTTAAAGCATAAAGGTAAAAGTAATGCAGGAATAAATGTTAGGGAAAGAAGCTTTACTACAGGAAAATGTTTCTACAATTCTGGATGGTAATTTCTTTATGCTTATTTTCTTAGTTTTACAACTAATGGTGACAGTGTTAAATTTAACATTTTCCTCATGTTAAATTTTTCATCTTAAAAAACTTTATTTTGTTAGGAGGCGAACAGCAAGTTGGTGCAGCACCGAGTGCAACAACAAAGAAATTAATTGTCTGGATATAACAAATATATTTT